CAAGCATGACTTGAATAAAACGAAAAATGATCATTTGTTTCCACACCATAATCAAACCTTGACTTCCATGAAATTATGTAAACAATTATGTAAACAATTATGTAAACAATTATGTAAGCAATTATGTAAACAATTATGTAAGCAATTATGTAAGCAATTATGTACGCTTCAGGATAACTCTTACAGAACCCGTCTCACTGATTTCGTAAATACATGTAAACACTCAACTCTCTCAATGTTTGCTCTCTAATTGTGTACGAGGCTCTAGTCTCCCTCGTACATCAACCACACAAGACCACCGGTTAAACAGAAAAGATGAGTCGATGGATTTCAGTTCCAATCATTAACTTTTATTTTAGGAAGAAAGGCACCTCTCAGGAAATGGGATATGCTAGCGTTATTTTGTTGTATTAAATTCATACCATTTTACAACACTCTATATCATTTATTTACAAGAGAATATATATATATATATTTTTAATTTATAATATATTTTCGCAGCATATTTTGACATCCATGAAATGATCTTTTTAATAATGTACGCTTTTAGGAATTCTTATTTTAAGATGTATAGCATTGGATACGAATAAGAATAAGAATTCACACCTTAAAATCCCTAAGTATAGAAAGAGAACTAAACCCACAATCGAATAGCACCAGACTGATAAGTATAAATATATAGATACCTGTTTCAATCGTATTTAAAGGAAACCAAAACCTTCATAATAAGTTACTTTTATTGTAAAGTTTAAGATATTTCAATGAAATCAGTGAAAATTTGAACAAAATCGGGCAAGGAATAAGGAAGGAAAAGCTGATTGAAATGACTAGTCACTAGAGGGCGATATTCAATTTGATGACATCATTTTGTGGACAACTCTCCATGCCTTTTGTACATCAAATTTCACAATTCTTTCGTTTTATTCGTATTTATTCATGTTCTTGATCCGACTTCATAACATGTGAAGTAGAATATCATTTTGCACTCTATACCTTGCTTTCAAGAGAGTAGATTATCTCCATGACAAGAAAGAAGGAAAAACATGACATTTGATGTACAAAAGGCATGATAGTTGTCCACAAATGATGTCATCAAATTGAATTTCGCCCTCTAGTGACTAGTCATTTCAAAAAGCTTTATAAACTTCCTTATTCCTTGCCCAAGTTACTTTCATTATTATATGAATTCATTCAATTGGAATGAAGACCATTCAAATAAATCTCGGGTTGAACATTTATTTATTTAAAAACTTGGGCAGAGTCAAAAGAGACTTGCTACTGTTCAGCTGTCCATGTGATTGTATTGATCAATGTGTACAAATAAAGAAAAGATGACAGACTGCAACTTGTGCATAACCGACTAAATATATAACTATGTTGTGATCGCATCAATATTTAATACGATAGCAAATACTTACGAAATATTAACCCAAGGCAATTACAATAGCCATGTGCGTCACCTATTGAAATGTGCGAACATGACAATGACGTATTAAGTAAGCTGAACATGATTTCCATGGGACATACAATAGGGTATTGGAATTTCCTTTGAGTTTAATTTTCTAAAGAAGGTTGCGGTCGTGTTATTTATAGGATTGAATCTTGGTTTCCTTGTTGTGACTCACGCTGTACATATGTGATTTGTTATACATAGAAAAATGACATTATGAAATTGTGATTTGTTGATATGGAATAAACACAACTCCGGTTGTCATAACATTTATCCGTACACAAATATATGCCAACATGAAAAGAAACTATATACAATGAAATAACTGGAGTGACAGCGTAAAAAGAGGAAATTATCTTTAAAACTGAAATAATAACCTTTAGAACCAAATGATAATTTCACTGAAACTAACACCATTATCTCCTTTCTACACCATTTAAGAGTAGTCTACATGGTCTATGTACAATTCTGTCACAAAATAAGATAATTGTAAGGCACTGTTAGTATTGATCATTTGCTTTCACAGTCAAATATATTCTGATTTCCAAATATGTCTACATGTAAATGTTGTTAGGTAGGCCCATATTGACAGTTGCAAATCTGGTGCGATCCTCACTAGGCGTGTTTATACAATGTTAATAATCAAAATAGAAGCAGACTTAGAAAACTCTTTTTAAACTTAAGTATACATTCTGATTAAATGTTATCACACCCTCTCAAATCAGTATGGTCTATGTACAATTCGGTCATAAGAAAATTACTTTGTGAACGATTATAAAGTAATGAAAATGATCCTGTACAGGTAAGTAAAGTATGAAAATAAATCATATTCATATTCAGAAATTGCATACAGCTAACATTTGTAAGATACATGTACATAGCAATGGAAATCAATAATGGATATGAGATAATGTATGAGTACTAGACGAAACAAGATTGCATCTACTTTAAAAAAAACTTCTTTGTTTATTTAAACAAAAATCTACGCTCAATAACGTAATGCAGAATAATTGTATGTTACATTAACAAGTATATTTTCAGATGATAACAAATTACTTTTAAAAACATAAGGAAAACACAAATATGTGAAACTTTGATTTTACTATTACCAGTATCTGTGAACGCAGGAGACCGCCAACTTGAGACAATTTCAATAGCCTCGTCTATCACCTCTAGAAACTGGAAAGGGTTAATCAGATCAGTATTGTCCACAAGTACTCGATATCTGTCTTGATGACAACCTGCGCATTCCTGCACTTGACCTGGGGGAGGGGGGTTTCACAAAGACTAAGATCGACTTTAAGTTGGACTTACATATGACAGGATGTTCATGACACTGTTTCATCTTGGCATTTACAGGCTTTGGTCTCTGAAGGGACATACAAATCGTGATCACAAATCTACAGAATTTACATTTGTTGATAGTTCATTATTGAAGGAAAAAATAAAGTACAATTATCAGAGGTGAAAATGGGGCACTTCTTACACTAAAAAACATGAGTCAGGCACCAGAGATGAAAAGGGACTTTATAAGAATGGGAAATGGACATTTATCTACGGAAAAGAGGCACCCATAAGATTTTGATAGGGGCATTTATAAGAAGTGAAAAGGCGCATTTATGAAAAAGGGATAGGTTCCTTATGTTTAAAAGGGTAATTATCAGAGGTGAAAAGGGGCACTTATGATAATGAAAAAGGGGCACGAACGACAAAGTGAAATGTGCATTTGTTGAAAGAAAAGGGGCACCGATCAGATTTTAATAGGGGAATTTATCGTAGGTGAAAGGGGGCTTTTATGAGAAGGGGGAAGTGGCTCTTATTAAAAAGAAAAAAGAGGCACATGTTAAAGTAAACGGGGCACTAATCACTAATCCTCCTCAACATGCAGACGCAGCTGCAGTAGCAGTTGTAGTCTTCTTGGCAATACTGCCGTCATGAAATATCAAACTTTCAACAGTTATACAATTTTCGACAGTATACGGCAGCGCCGTTTTTGCAACCCGACCAATTGTAGAAAAAAATCGTAAGATCTTCTTACGAATGACTTGTGAATGCCGTGAGTTACACGTACGACTACCTTGCGAGAACAAAAACTCGTAAGATGGTCGTAAGTCTGACGTAAGAAGAACTCAAGGCGTTCTTACGAAAAACGTACGAACTCTAGGGCCATTGTATAACCGAAAATCACTTCGTTTCTCAAGAAGGTCTTGAGTTGTTCTTGCGAATTAAACGGCGTTCGCACGCACTCCGTAAGAAGGACGTAAGAAACTATGCCCCGTCTACGAATCTCTACGAACTTAGAAATTTGTAGGAACAGGGAGATTCGTACGAACGCATCGTTCGTACGAACATATGTGACCGTAGCATAAGGCAATTTCAATTGAAAAGTACGAACATGGCAATGACGTATTAAGTAAGCTGAACATGATTTCCATGGGACGTAAAATACGGTATTGGAATTGCATTTGGCTTGAATGTTATAAAATAGTTGCGGTCGTGTTATTTATAGGATTGAATCTAGGTTTCCTTGATGTGACTCACGCTGTACATATGTGATTAGTTATACATAGACAAATTACATAATGAAATTATGATATGGAATAAACACATTTCCGGTTTATCATAACATTAATTTGTCCACAAATATATGCCAACATGAGAAAAAACTATATACAATGTAATAACTGAAGTGAAAGCCTTGAAAAAGGGAAATAATCTTTAAAGCTGAAATAATAACCTTTAGAACCAAATGATAATGTCACTAAAACTAACATAGTTATCTCCTTTCTATACCATTTTAGAATGGTCTACATGGTCTATGTAAAATTTTGTTACAAGATAATACATTTACAAAACTTTGTTAATAAGGCACTGTATGATCATTTGCTTTCACAGGCAAATAAAATATGTCTACATTTAAACGGTATTATGTAGCCCCCTATGGAAAGTTGTAAATCTACCGCAATGGTCACTAGGCGTGTTTATACAATGTAGGTAGTCAACGAAAGACGCAAACTAAGAACACTCCTTTTAAATTTAAGTATCAATTCTGATAAAATATTATTACCCCCTTCTCAAATCAATATTTCTATGTACAATTCAGTCACAAGAAAATTACATATACATTGAACGATACTTAAAACAAAGAAAATATTCCTCTATTTTCACACTATAATAATACACATATTTATTCTGAACATGAATGGTATGTACAGATTAGGAAGGTATGACATTAAAGCAAATTAATATCTAGAATTCGCATACATAACGTTTATAAGATACATGTATATAACAATGGCAACCAATAATGGATATGAGATAATGTCTGTATACTAGACAAAAACAAGATCATAACTACTTTTGACAAATCAATTTCTTTGTTTGTTTGTTCAAAAAAAATATATATGCGTTCAATAATGTAATGCAAAGTAATCGAATATTAAAGTGTTTTCCAAATATAAACAAATTAATTTTAAACACATAACAAAAACACACATTTTGAATTATAGTTTTCAATATTAGTTATCTGTGAACGCGAGAGACCGCCAATTTCAAAGAATTTTAATATCCTCGTCTATCACCTCTAGAAATACGCGAACATTAAAATGACGTATTACGTAATACGAACATGATTTCTAGTAGTTACGATCGTGTTACAACTATGTCAAGTTAATTCATAATTAAATGAAATAAAGCAGTCAATTATTGATTTTACTTTTGGGAAAGAAAAAAAGAGAAAAAAAGAAGAAAAAGATTTCAATATTATTAGAACCGTACATTCAATTCCCTTCTCTTTGCTTGTTCACCCTTGAGATACTGAACTACACGATGACGACCATTGCGTTGTGCAACACAAAGTAAAAGGGAGAGAGAGAGAGAGAGGCTGACTTTCATGAACTACCACCTGATTTTGTGTCACTGTTTCAGTGATAGGTATTTCTGTATTGACGTTACTCTGCTCGACAGGGGTGTGATCATATCACGGTTTATCTTCCATCCTTCTTCTCACAGATTCAATGTCAATCACAGGTTGAGTATCATGTACTGCTGTAATGGCGTTACTATGGTGTCTGGCTGGGGCTATCCTGTACAGTTAATTTTGCATTCCTCTTCCTACGGATTTATTGTCTGTATTTCCTTCTTCCTTCCAAGACCTTCGCTGTATAATTGAAATTTTGAGATAAAATAAAAAATATCTAATAAAATAATAACACTGTAGCTACATCTCCAAATTGAAGAAAACAATGTGTGATACAAATTTTTGAATGAAAACATTCTTGTATTTGCACAAGCCACTGGATGACACAATATTTTAAATCCTACGAGTGCACACGGATATAAAGAAAATCTGAACTAAGATGGAACAGTTCGGCAATAGGCCTACTTTGTAAAAAAAAAAAAAAACTTTGATGTTCAGTGGAAATAATATTCAGATTTCCTTTTTTCTCAATGTATTTTGATATTCACACACATTAACATGTATTTTAGTTTTAACTGTAAAAAATTACATCAGATAATGATTACTTGATATTCTTAGATTGACCTCCAATAAATCGTAAAAATTAACTTAGCTTCACATACGATACACCTAAAAAAAAAATAGTGACACAATAACTAACAAACTAACCTTTCCAAAATAGAGTCCAAGTGAGTCATGAGTTGGATCAGGCATCTCTACCCTATCTGTAATTTCTGATTTAAAAATAATATAAGAAGAACAACACACTTTTGAATGATTAGCAATAAAGCACATTAATTTGAACCTAGACCTAATCAAAACCTTATCGGGACTCATTTTTTTACTAACCATACCCTGTAAATCAGAGCAAATGGGCAATTTAAGCTCAACTGTAAGGGAAGTATTTTACATGATAAGGACAACTGCTCCTGGAAAACACACCCATAAGAGAACTACTATCCTTTTTAGACTTCCCTGGATATTTTACAACATGGAAATCTACTTCCTAGGGTATGATATCCCTCAGGATATGTCCAACATGGAAAATGACCTCCCAGGATAATTATCCTCAATATAAATTACCCCAAGATTACAACCATCTTGAATGAGTTAAAACCTAATCACCCTCAGGCAACTATCTGTATGTGGACATTCGATTTGGTCCTTTTCTGAGATTTTAAAGGTAAAATCAACTTTTCCACAATCTCACTGTCAATATTCCTCCCTCTTAAAAAAAATCCCAGAATGCCTTATTGCTTTAAAAAACACCTTTTCCCATTTCTGTTCATATAATTTCCTCTCAAGATTTTTACATACTAATACATTTCATTGGTTCCAGGACACCTACCCCCTGCACATCCAACCCCGGATAACCAACCCCAGTCAACTACCCCCTAGGACATCTACCCTCTAGGACAACTACCCCCTAGGACAACCACCCTCCAGGACGACTCCTACCCCTCCCCCCGGGACATCTATCCCTCGGAAAACTACTCTCCAGACAACTACCCCCTACGACAACCAACCTAGGAGGTAATTGTTGGGGGGGGGGGGGTAAGACAACTACCCCCTACGAAAACTACCCCCGGACAACTATCCCCAGACAACTACCCCCTACGACAACCAACCTAGGGGGTAATTGTCTGGGGGAGGGGGGGTAAGAGGACTTTTTTTTGGGGGGGGGGAGGGGTCCAAAAAAAAATCGCAACGACTAAGCCAGCCGCTAAATAAGCGGGGGGGGGGGACAGGGGCGAGGTGGGGGGGGGGGGGGGGGGGTGGGGGGCAGGGGCGAGGTGGGGGTGGGGGCAGCGGCGAGGTGGGGGTAAGAGGGCATTTTTTTTTGTTTTTTTTTGGTCATGAAATTTGTAAATTTGACATTTTGCTCCATTAGGGGTGGGTAAGGTCACCTTTTTAGGTCAGCCATTGGTATAAATATATATATATATATATATATATTTTTTTTTTTTAAGGAAAAAAAAGAAGTTAATTTTAGGGACCGGGGGGACACGCCCCTTTTTCTTTTTTTCGTTTTAGGCGAATTTAGGGCTGATTTTAACATATTATTTTGGGGTGGCCGGGGGGGGACGTGATTTTGAACTCGCCGCCCAGTGACCGACTGATCTCCCAGCGGCGACCGGGCTGCGAACGCTCAGCAGCCTTTGACCTAGCGGCTTCGAATTTTGACTTAACTTGTTCGACGGCGTACGCTCGATTAGGTCTGTGCCCGGACGGCGACCGCCCGGTCACCGAGCGTACTTTAGGCGGCGAGTGAAAGTGAGCAGGCGCCACCCGAATTTTAACTCCGCGCCAAAATGTCAATAGCAACCGAGCGATGCCCTAAATACAAGCGGTACCCGGGCGGCCGCCGCTCGATGCCTGGGCGAAGTTGGCTCAAAACTCGCCGACCGGCCGCCGAGCAGGCTACTTTTAGGTGATGTGACCATAGCATAACGGCGTACAAAGAGCAATTTCAGGTCCTGTACCCAAGCCAGAGACTTCACAAAAATAGTGACATAATAACAAATAAACTAACCTCTCCGAAATAGAGTCCAAGTGATGCATAAGTTGGTTCAATACCAAGAATCTTTACCCTATCTGTAATTTCTGATTAGAAAAAACAAGAACAACAAAACACATTTGAATGGTTAGCAATAAAGCACATCAAATTTAACCTAGACCCAATCAAGACCTTATCAGGACTCAATTTTACTAACCATACCCTTTAAAGGTAAAGACCAGTTTTGGAAACGCCCCAATTTCAAAAAATGAAATGGAAGCTCTCATTACCAATCATGTAAAAGAATATGTTTTGACTAATACATGATGATAAAAAAATTGCCGGGAAACCGCCTACTAATTCATATATTTGGTAAATTTGTTTCTCTCATGGTCTGTGAGAGATATAGGGTATCCCATATACATCTTTCTGTGTATAGTGCTTGTAACTTTACGAAGAATGGGCCAAATTTCTTATCATTTTGATGATTCCAGAACCTTGCAGATGCTAGATGCTAGATGATCAACCTTTTCTGATCGATTCCACAATGTTTCTTTCACAATGCAATCGCATGACCATAACTGGTCTTTACCTTTAATTGAGAGCAAATTGGCAATTCAAGCTCAACTGAAATAGAAGTATTTTTTCTTCATCAGGACAACTGCTCCTGGAAAACACACCAATGGGACAACTTCTATTATTTTGTCTTCCCTGGACATTTACAACATGAAAATCTACTTCCTAGATATTTATACCCCTCAGGATACGTACAACATGGAAAATGACCTCCTAGGATAATTGTCCTCAAGAGAAATTACCCCCAGATAACAACCATCTTTATTGAGTTAACCTAATCACCCTTATGCAACTATCTATAGGTGGACATTTGATTTGGAAGTCCTTATCTGAGATTTCAAAGATAATATATACTTTTCACCTATCTCACTGTCAATATACCTCCCTCTAAAAAGAAAAAAAATGCCTTACTGCTTTAAAAACACACCTTTTTCCATTTCTGTTCATAGAATTTCCTCTCAAGATTGTTATATTCTAATACATTTTATAAGACAATAAAAATGGCAAACGACTGTATCCTACTACAGTCATGGCAATGTATAATTATAACAAAAAAAGAACTTCGCAGTTTTATTAACACGATTATACTTTTAAGGCCAACACTGATATAGAGGCAGGGTATTTTACTGACATCGCTACCACTACGTATATTCAATTGCGCAATATTTCTGTGATCGCGTACGCATAGAACGATTTCCGGTCATGTACCCAAGCATCATCATGTAGATGGTGATGCATTGTGGGACATGGCTATCGACGCACCGGGATTTTGTGAGCAGCAGATGGCAGTACACGTCCATCTGAAGTAGTATCAGTAGAATACACTGCCTTTAAGGTCAATCAAGTATCAACAAACCTTTGAAATCTGGACGATCACTTGCTTCATAGCTCCATGAATCTGTCATAACTTTGATCAGAGCTTCAGGAGTGTTTTTTTGAACAGGATCCAGATCGGGGGTTTGGTTGTCTAATTTAAAGATCCTCATCATGAGGGGTTCTCTGTCTGATATACAAACAAATTATAGAACATAATACAGGGAAATAAATTGAATTAGCAATACAAATGGATGAGTAATACTTACAGTCAATGATAGTGCAATCAAACAAAAATGTTTGAGCATTAGCAAATTGAGGCTGTAGCCTCTGTTTAACATCATTTTGTATTCATAAGCTGATTTATAATCAATTTAAATACATATTCACGCAAATTTGAGGATGTGAGATGGCTCAGTGGTCATAACTATATAGGAGGACCCAGGTTCTAAACCATGTGAATTCACTTGACTAGTGCTCTTTGGTAAGGCATTAAACATCATTACAATGTCCCTCAGAGAGGATTTAAAGTCACCGAGTTGCGCTTCTTGTATCAGTCAGGTAAAAATCTAAGAATCTAAGATCTAATCAAAATATAAGAAGTGCTATACAATTGGCTTGCGGGTGCAACATGTGAGAGAGGGGGAGGATTGAGGAGTCCTGAATAAGTAATGCTATCAAAACAGGAAGCAAAAACTCACCAGAGTATGGGTGAATACCTGTCAGAAGTTCATAGAGAGTCATCGCAAAGCTGTGGGTTAATGCATGGAGAAAAAGAAACATGGACATTTGTTACACTCAATTTTATACAAAAAAGACTAAAAGCAGATATTGAACAAAAAGGTACTAATATCTGGACTTTATTCATTAGTTAAGTTAATTACAGTGAAATAAACTTTTCTCTATGTTTACTTCATGTTTCTGTAACTATTAGGCATTTAAGAAATCAATTATTCATGAAAATACAAAATAGAGTATTACATTTTATTGAATTGGTCCTGAAAAACTTGATGAAGTTGAATCATTTTCATATACAGAGATTAATAAAGACATAGTTATCCCGACTTAAAAGAATTAGGGAACTATAACATCGGGTTTGGCAAATTAAAAGTATGCGTTTAAAATCGCCCTTTTTTCCTTCACAAAAAAAACATGATTTAAAATGCCCCCGTACACATGTGTCTTATAATTTGTTGTATGCAATTATTTTTTTAATGTGTTATTATTTTCTTACTTCTTCAAACCTTTTCTAGGGTTTTAACTAAACCAAATTGACAATCTTATGGACTGTTGGTCTGCAGGGATGTTTCAGTTCAAACCTTTAAACATGAGCCTTGTTGAATTATGCACATACTGTTGTTAAGGTAATGTTAGTCTGCCCTATTTGTCAGTACTCTGGCAGGGGTAGCTTTCACACAGTTGTTTTCTTCAACCATTTCTTTAACTTCTTTAACCATTTGTAAAATGTATTTCAATTTCAATTTTATCTTATTGAACCAGTAGTTCTACATCCGATCCAAAAAGAATATTGATGAAATTAAAGGCCCCATTATGAGTGTTTTTCTCAGAGGCGTTTATGTGGGGGCGGCAGAGGAGACATGTGCCCCAGATGGCACTTAAAGGGCCGCAAAAATGAAGAAAAAAGAGAAAGGAGAAGAAAGGAAGAAAACATGATGATCCAAAATAAAGGAATGAATGAATGAAGGTTTGATGAAGAAGCCAATAGAATACTACATGTACTAAACCCATATATTGATGTTCAAAATTCAAAACTCTACTGTTCAATAACAACCAAGGATATTAAAATATTCCAATTTGGGCAGCGAGGTGGCAAAATTGATGCTGAAGTAACATTTTCACCATAATGAAATAGTAAAAGCAGGGTTAAACAATAAAAACCTTTATAACAATACAAAAAATGGTTCATACCAAAATAAATCATAACAATCTTTTATGAAATGACCTGCAGTTATTATAACCTGGATAACTATCCCCCTCAAATACCTGAATGTGTTGGACGATTAAAGTATACCCAGAATTCTTTCAAAAACTCATTCAAGAATTGGAATATATATTGATTGGGTATGTCACCACCGCTAAATTCTTTGATTTAATGGACTTCTGAGGATTGTTTATATGAATTATATTTTCTTACCTGTAGACATCATACTTTGGAGTACCAATCATAATTGAGTTGGGTATGTCTGTTCTAAAAGCTTCTGGCGGCTTGTGACTGTGCGTGCCACAACATCTATCACCAAATGAAGTTTGGAGATTGGTTGCAAGGCCAAGATCTGCAATCTGTACATGTCATCAACAGAGAGAGAGAGAGAACACTTTCAGATTAATATCACACTATTCTAGATTGATGTGTCCCGAATAGTGAAGGTAATAACTATCTTGTTTGACAGGAAAGTTCATGAGATCTTTGTTTGATTGCTTGAAGGAGAATTCTTGGGAATCTTAGATGCTTCCCCATCTTCCAATAATAAGTTCAGCTGCAAGCTCCATTATGATGTGTGATATTAAACTAGCCTATCTTTCAAATATAATAAAGTACTTTTCAGTTCACAAATCAATATCTAAAAAAGAAGAAAATTAATTGAATATTCCCTTTTTTTGTGGTAGTTTTAGTGACAAATCTAATGTAGGTACAAGGGCCAGGCAAGGACACCATCAAACATTTTAGGGTCCCTCAGTTCCTCCTGGAGACTTTGTCAGTACAAGGTCATAATCAAGTGAAATGTTTGGATAATTCATGTCGCAGGGATCGTGTGAGCAATCTGAGAATATGTATCGCTAATCTGCACCTGAATCACAATCAATGAAGATAGTTTAATTTGCAGCAAGACAAGATTCATTAAAGGCATGGAACTAAAGACATTATATCATGCCTATCTATATAGAATGCAGTCAATAACAGCCAAGAAATATGTTTAAGTACCGTAATCCTGAAAAAGCAGTTTGTCAGATTTCTTCTATTTCAATCTTCTCAGACGAAAATAATGAGATACTCAAACTCAAACTTATATGGTGACAATTGAAATAAATAGCAGGGCATTGTTTCATGAAACTGTTATGAGTACAAGTTAACCGACATCCCACTGAAATGTGTGTAAAGTACAATACAAGTGTTAATGTGATATCTTAAGTACTTATGATGGTTTCATGAAACGCTGCATAGATGACAGATGAAGAATGTTACCTTGACATGAAGATCACCATCTACTAGAACGTTCTCCAGCTTGAGATCCCGGTGAATGATATCTTTTGAGTGGAGAAATTGCATTCCAGACGACATTTCATAGACCATCCTGTTGGTCAGAGGCAAGAGGTCGGGGTGCTGTTGCCATTTAGTAGTGCGGAAGTCCCAAAGAGATCCATTCTCCATGTATTTCATGACGATACCAATAAGGCCACAGTTACATGCATCATCTTCACACTCCACAAACCCTTTGATGGGGACAATGTGCTCACATATGAGGGAATTCTCGTGCTTTCGAGCCTCCTTCTTGTACATCTTCACTTGATCTCTATATAGGGGACTGAGAAAAACATTGATCAAAGAAAATGATATCTTACCACGAGGAATGAAGATTTTTTCTTAGAAGATCTAAATATGGTCATAAGCTGAAACAAACTTCTTAGTCTGCTAGTGCAATCATATTTTGTGACATAGGGAACAGATCTAAGCCAATTATGACATTTTTGTATGTTACAAGTTCCAATATTCATCTTTCACTTCAAACTGAAATTAACAAGAAGCATGTGATTATCATGATCCTGTCCCCATATTTGCAGTCAAAGCTCGTTTTACCCAGAGTGTGCTATGTTCAGAGATATGGCTATGAAACTCGAGTTACGAGGTCCCTTTGTTTTTAGGCAGAGGACTGTACATTATTGTCGAGTTCAATACCTTAAGATATGCCTGATATATTCCATACACTTTTTGTTATGACTACATCTCTGCTGGATGAGATGTGGTTCTTAAATTTTTAAAAGAAATTATGAACTTCAAAATCTTTAAATTGGCAATGCACAACGGAATGTAAAATCATATAAAACCATTATGTGAAAAATATGTTAGTTAACATAACCAATATTCAGAAAACAATGTAAAATCCGAAACTATGATAAGAGAGTTTTGTATGGGAAAGATGCAGACTGCATACACATAACCTTATGCAAGCCGCATGCATGGACTTAACATGAAACATGATTGGCTGAGAGATCTGAGTCTCATTGGAGAATGAATGAAAAATGGGCATGTCAGGGGCATAACCTAAAAAAGAATAACATACCCCGGACATAGTTTTCAAAATACTGATTAAGAGGTATGTTAAGGGTATGTTAACTGTGGGACCCAGATATTAATAATAATAATAATAGTGGATACTTGTATACCGCACAGGTCCACCTTTCGGTGCTCATGGCGCTTAGAGAAAAGTACATGTAACAGACATAAGAAAGAAAAAACAATACATCGAAAAACAAAAATCGAAGTTCTCCTAGACATAGTAAATTAGAATATTGCAATAATTACAACGAAATAAAAAAATAAGTTTTCAGTTGTAATTTGAATGTTTCTGTTGACGACAGTTGACGTAATTGTAGAGGGGGCTTATTCCAGAGTTTTGGACCCATGGCTGAGAGAGCCCGTTCGCTCCAAGCATGTTTTATAGTGGGAGTATTAAGTAATAGCGTGTCTTATGAGGAGCGAAGACTTCGTGTGGGTTTTTTTTTAACTGAGTTGCTCAGGTATGTAGGGGAAGAAAGAGAGTAAACGGAATGATGAACTAGTAACATAATTTTAAAAAATAATCATTTTGTCTACTGGCAACCAATAGAGAGTACGGAGAACTGGTGAAATGGAATCATATTTTGTAGTGAATGTTAATAAGCGGGCTGCAGAATTTTGAAGTCGTTGAAGTTTGGTGACATATTTTTTTGGAAGGTTACAGAACAATGAATTTGCAAAATCTAAACGAGAAGAAATTAAAGCATGAATCAAGATCTCAGCCGCAGGTTTAGATGAACACTTTCTTATGAAACTTAGATTACGTAATTGGCAACTTACACTCTGTTGAACACGTGTTATTAGGTATAGCACATCAAAAATAATTACAACAAACACATGTTATTTGATGGTTGCAAATGATCAAGCTTTATGAAAGCTTCAAAAAACAGATTTGAAATCGGTTAATGCGTTGCGATTTTATACCATTTTTTTGATATCTCAAAATTACCGAAAAACCTGCCAGAAATGGTCAAGTTGGCAAAAATGGCATAATTCGACAAAGTTGACAACTTAATTCATCACTTTCCTGGACACAAATAATAAATTAAATTATCAGACACATAAATATCATCTTTGTGGTAAAAAATACAAAAAAGAAAATTAATATATCTATTACCGTTTTGAAAACAGAATCCCACAAAATAAGTCATTTTTGCCATTTTTGCGAATCTGCAGATATAAAAAAGTTGTGAAAATAACTAAGTCCGCCTAAATTAATATGCGCATATGTAATCATATCAAAACCGAACATGACACATGAGTGAAACCTATTTATATATATATCAGACATATATGGAAATATATTTTATTTGAAATAAAAAAAAAATTATAAATATTCATCAAATATGCAAATTAGGTCATTTCAGATAATTATTTATTCGCGCACTCATTATGCAAATTAGGAAAGTCAACCTGTTCTTTTTGGGGGCATTTTTAAATCATATATTCATAGATCATATTTACACCAAATATTGACCTTAAATTCCAAATATTTTTGCAATGCCAATACAATATGGCGATGGAAATTACTTGGATCACCGTTACAGCTATTTCCTCATATGTTTCACAACTTATTCAGAAAAACCGATCATATGATAACAAATAATGGACTTTCAGCTACATCACAGTATATTTGCTTATTTTAAAAATGTCGGATTTAAAGATTCATGACGATTTTTCGAGAAACGATTCAACAGGCCATACATTCCACAGGAACTGAATTTCAGAGTACCACCATTTTTGGTGACCTCAATTTAGTTGTGGCTACCTTGAGTGTAAATAACAAATTAATTCAATGAGTGAAACACATGAGGATATTGCATTTTTGTAGGGGAGTTTTATACATTGAGGTGCATTTTCACCACGCAGAATGAGCTGCGCGAGTCAATGGGCGATCAGCGGGCCATGCCACACATGGCTGAAAAGACAATATTCTAATTCAATAATTAACATATTTCCCACATGCCTATAACAATGAAACTACACAAAATTGTAGTTAAAGGTATGCTTGAAATATATGTGAAATAAAAAAATTTAAAATATTGTTTATTTTGTTTAAATACATTTACAAAAATTGCTATTTCTACCAACTGACTGCTATTGTGTGTGTGTGTTCGCGGGGCAGACTGTTTGCACAGGCAGTGTGATCAGTGTTATATGACTACGAAAGGACATTTCCTGATCAAATATTACACCCACTAAAAGGCAAATTACGAGCTGTTTTTCATGGAGTGATACAAGTTTTTTCCAATATGGAGATGACACGATTGATAGTCCACCTTCCGTAACATGTGGTTTGAACCTAATAATAACAACTAAGATTTATTTAGCTTAAGGCCATTATATATTAGCCAGGATTTGAGTTCTTCAAGACAAGTTTCAAGTTTTGAAACAGCTGATGACAGTGAAAACATTGTAGGTTTAAAAGAACGATAAATTTGGATGTCATCTGTGTAACAATGGTCATTAATACAATGTTTGTGAAATATCTTGCTGACTGGTTGCATATAAAGAGAAAAGAGCAGTGGTCCTTCTACCGAACCCTGCGGTACACCATACTTCATAGTAGTTTTACCAGAGGTAGAATTCCCATTCTCTACATACTGAGATCGTTCAGAGAGATATAATATAAACCATTTAAGGACGGTACCCTTGATACCAAATGATTTCAGCCTTCGAGTCAGGATAGAGTAATATACTGTATTGGAAGCTGAGCTCATATCTAACATAATAAGAGCAGTAATATTACCGCAATCCAGTTCTCTTAAAACAGTATCAGTTAAGTTGGCAAGTAGTGTTTCCACACTATGACCAGTCCTGTAGGCAGATTGACATGGTTAAAACAATTCATTATCTCATAAATATGCAGCCAGTTGTGAGAAAGCAACCCGTTCCAGCAGTTTACTCAACAAATAAAATGTTTTTCTTCTATGTGTCAATATATCATTAAACGATTCTTTTTACTTACTCTTTACCAGGTTTAGCAAGCTTCACAGCTACATCACCATGTACTGCATGAGTAGCCTTGTAGACCTCCCCAAAAGAGCCTCCACCCAAATGACAGCCTTCCAGTTTCCTTGCTTTCTTCTTATGGAAGGCATGTTTTCCCCCACTGGAGTCCTTAATAGTGAGGTCCGCCATCATAATTGTTTTAAGATTGAAGAACGGTTGAGGAACAGACGACCTTGCATCAGAGACTTTAAATCAAAGTGAGAATAGAAAATACTCAGCAGTCACGACACTACTCAAGACCGCATTTGATTGGCTGAGAGCAATATTGTCATAGAAGGTTAGAATTTGTTATTGATAACAAGTTTTATGAAACAAGGCCCAGCATACAAAAAGTTCAATGAGGTAAACTGGTGTTTCCCCGCGGAGTACACTGTGCACTGTTTCGCATTTATGAAATTGCCACCTTTCTTCAATTGAAACCCATTTTAATTCGTTATATGCCTGTTCAATGGGAGTAGAATAATTTACTTTTAAGATCAACCGGGCCGTTTTCTTGTGTTGTCTTATTAAACCGTCTTTCAAATATTGTGCACATGTGGACCATGAATTGCTACAGTAGTCAAAGTGAGGTAATATAAGTGAGATAGCTAAGACTTTAGAGCTGTCAACCGTGAGGTATTTTTAGGAGTCTACCAAAGAGTGCAAGTCGGGAACCAATTTTTTTGTTTTATTGTTTCTTCAATATGTTTTTGCCAGGTTAATGTCTCATCCATCCAAACCCCAAGATATTTATAGGTGTTTACTCTTTCCAGCTCATGGTTGTCAACAGCGAGATTTATATCATCACAATTTGTCAGTTTCCTATGGGAGCCAAAAACCATATATTGAGTTTTTGATAAATTCAACCTGAGATGATTTTGTGTCAGCCATTTATTGACTATCTCAAGCTCCTTATTCAGTACAGATTCAGTGTCTTTAATATCTTTCCCACTGTAGTACAATATTGTATCGTCGGCGTACATCATAATGTGGCACTTTTCAACAATCCCTGGTAAATCATTTACCATTACCGAAAACAGAAGGGGCCCGATGATCGAGCCTTGCAGAATGCCAGTTCTGATATTAGTAATGTCAGACAAGGTCCCTTTGACAGATGTACGTTAGGTTCTTCCGGATAAATACGATTTAATCCAAGTAAGTTCACTGTCTTTAACTCCATACAAAGGACTAACAGTAATGGACAAAACTGGGAAATAGACCTATTGGCAATTATACAAACTATGATTAATGGCCAAATGATGAGTAGACCATATGGTTATTAGACGAAATATGACGGACTCAATATGATGCTTGGACCAAACTGAAACTGGACTATTTTGGTTTAGATAGATATTAGATAAAAAGGCAATTGGACCAAATTATAAATGACCAAATGTTTATGGGACCAAAATGAGCCAAAATTGTACATGCATTGGATGAAGCAGCAATTCTACCAGTTTGTTACAGACAAGTGGCTATTGGCCATGCCGGTAAATTGACTGGCATGATGATTGACTGAAACGTTGATTGGTCATGGATAGCGGGTATATATAGGGTTTACTCATGTAAACTGGGTGTAGACTAAATGAAGTGGGATGAACTGGCTATTTGACCAAGTGGCATTGGACCAAACGGCAATATATAATTCATTTTGTATACAGTTCGTTCAGATATAGGATCAAGAAAATCTGGAAAATCTGGATCAGCAATCTGGGTTAGTCGGGGTAAACAGTTAATTAGTAAAAAGATTGAAGAAGAACAAAATTACATCGTATAGATTTATATGTAGAAATGTACATATACCTTTAAACAAAACGCAAAGGATAAAAACAACTTAAAAGTAAAGGTATTATGACAGGTATGTCCCTATAAAATTCTTTCCCTATAAATACATCACTTTGTTTACATGATAATACCTAACAACAAAACAACAACAGCATGAAACAGTGATCCCGGTTAAAATGGGAATCATACCTTCAGGTGATGCTTCTTTCCTCTTTGCTTGTTTACTCGTGAGATACTGAGCTACATCAAGATGACCATTGCTTAATGCAGCAAGAAGTGGAGTCAAGCCATTATTAGCACCTCTCTCGACCTGTGCTCCTTGACCAACGAGGTACTTAACTACATCAATATGACCATTGCTTGACGCAGCAAGAAGTGCAGTCAAACCGTCATTATTGCCCCTCTCAACCTGTGCTCCTTGACCAACGAGGTATTGAACTACATCAAGCTGACCATCGCGTGATGCAACTTGAAGCGGAGTCGAACCATTATTAGTACCTCTCTTGACCTGTGCTCCTCGACCAACGAGGTACTTAACTACGTCAAGATGACCTCCTTGTGATGCACTAAGAAGCGGTGTCCAACCAGTATTGTCGCCCCTCTCAACCTGTGCTCCTTGACCAACGAGGTACGCAACTAAGTCAAGATGACCCTTTGTTGATGCAGCATGAAGTGGTGTAAAACCATTATTAGTACCTCTCTCAACCTGTGCTCCTTGACCAACGAGGTACTCAACTATGTCACGATGACCTGCATCTGATGCAAAATGAAGAGCCGTTGCACCAAGTTTAATAGGATTATCAATCTGTGCTCCTTGACCAATGAGATACTTAACTACATCAAGATGACCATTGCGTGATGAAGAGTGAAGAGGTGTCTGACCATCAATATCACAAGTGTCGATTTGTGCTCCCTGTCCAACGAGGTACTCAACTATGTCACGATGACCATTGTGTGATGAACAATGAAGAGCCGTTGCACCAAGTTTAGTAGGCTCATCAATCTGTGCTCCTTGACCAATGAGATACTTAACTACATCGAGATGACCCTTTATTGATGCATAGTGAAGAGATGTCTGGCCATGAATATCACAAGTGTCAATTTGTGCTCCCTGTCCAACGAGGTACTCAACTATGTCACGATGACCTTTGTGTGATGCATCTTGAAGTGGTGTCAAACCATTATTATCACCCCTTTCTACCTGTGCTCCTTGACTAACGAGGTACTGAACTACATCAACATGACCGTTGTTTGATGCAGCATGAAGTGGTGTCCAACCAGTATTATCACCTATCTCAACCTGTGCTGCTTGACCAAGGAGGTACTGAACTACATCAAGATGACCTCCTTGTGATGCACGAAGAAGCGGTGTCCAACCAGTATTGTCGCCCCTCTCAACCTGTGCTCCTCGACCAACGAGGTACGCAACTAAGTCAAGATGACCCTTTGTTGATGCAGCATAGAGTGGTGTAAAACCATTATTATTACTCTCCTCAACCTTTGCTCCTTGACCAACGAGGTACTCAACTACGTCACGATGACCTTCACCTGATGCAAAAAGAAGAGCCGTTTCACCACTTTTAGTAGGCTTATCAATCCGTGCTCCTTGACCAATGAGAAACTTAACTACATCGAGATGACCATTGCGTGATGAAGAGTGAAGAGGTGTCCAACCAGTATTGTCGCCCCTCTCAACCTGTGCTCCTTGACCAACGAGGTACGCAACTAAGTCAAGATGACCCTTTGTTGATGCAGCATGAAGTGGTGTTGCACCAAGTTTAGTAGGCTTATCAATCTGTGCTCCTTGACCAATGAGATACTTAACTACATCGAGATGACCCTTTATTGATGCATAGTGAAGAGATGTCTGACCATGAATATCACAAGTTTCAATGTATGCTCCTTGACCAACGAAATACCGAACTAAATCGAAATGGCCATTTAAAGCTGCCCTGAGAAGGGCTTTATCGGACTCAGCAGGCTCATTTGCTGCTCTTTCAGCCATGTTTTACAAATCATTATGGATATTTTCTTTGTTCTAGACCTAATATTTCGTGTTTGTCAAAGTCGCCTTTGCGTTCTGTGAATCGTTCCGAGAAGAGACTACTGAAACACGTTAATGAGGTTACCGCTCTTACAGGTTGATACATTTTCTGTTACCCTCCAGGTTTAAACTATTCGAAGCCTACTAATGATTTTGCATTGTAAACTACGAAAGAGAAATGGTTCTAATTTGCATAATTCCTATTATATTATTCAAGAATCCGTCTCGGAACAAGTTTGATATCACCACTTTATTCGTCTGATTTCCTTCACATAAGCCAACGTGCTCCGGACCATCCAAATATAACATCAAAGGTCTGTTGTTTTTAAATGAAATGGTAGATTGTCCATTCTGTTCACAAATCCGTTGATAAAATTGTTCCACAATTGAATGCTAAAAGTTTTTCTTAAAATTTAGCTCCTTGCTTTTTATCCGAAGAATTTAACTTGTGCTTGATGGTACATTACTCAAAGGCAAGGACTAAATAATTCATTTGTGTGTGCTTACAGTTTCCGGATCAAACTAACTGATTGAACAGTCATGGAGAAAATGGCGTATCCTTTTGTGAGAAACGGGCGTTGTTTTGTCGCACGTCATCATGATAGTACGTCACCGTGACTTGACCTAAGCTTTGCTGCAATGTAATGCAATTTTACCTGAAAAGGGAATAAATGCATAGTTGACCAATTAGAATGAGCCGAAACCAAATAGTCGCAGCGTTATTTATTGGCATAATATCTATTGAACTTACACACTTGATCGCATACAAATTTTCCATTTGCCCATAATGCGTCAACATACAAACGAACTGAAATCGCGTCAAACTGTGTGTATTAGTTCGAAGAACGCATACATAGATGTATCATTTACAATAATTATTATTCAATCATCAGTAAATATGACTGTTTGTACCATTCTAATCACAGAATCTTTCCTGAAATCTGCCTCCAAAATAACTGTTCTTATTTCTTGGATCCGCAAGAAAATCAACCCATAGGACAATTTTATAAAAGTTGTTTTGGCATTTACTTGAGCTAATTTGTCTACATTTCTCGATGTAGGCTACAGCCCAGGAGACCAGTATTCTTTTCTATCTTCCCCTATGTATTTTTTGTTTCATCAGTCTAAAGGGCTGTCGGCGTTTCATATCATAGGCCTCGTGGACCTTTTGATACTTTCTCCATTTTTATATGTTCTCATGCATTTTTTTTTTGTCGGTCTCGATCGTATCAAGAGGGGATTCGCGGTCATGTCAATATTGGTCTCTTGAAGCTTGTGTCATTGTAGGTCCCTGGAGCTGTCGCTCTAGTGGACCGTTAGTTATGTATATGTAGTGATATGACTACAGGTGTTATGCACATATGCAAATATGCACGTGCATGTACATGTATCTACTGCTTTCTTGAGTGTGTGTATGCAAATATGCACATATCCACTGCACCTTGTGGAAGCCATTACTTAAACAACGGTAAACACTTCAATGAGCAAGCATGGGCAATTGGGCATGAATATATAATTAAATGTACATGGCAGTGTATGCAGAGAAGGTATGCTGGTCATGTTGGTATGTTAGTAGAGGGACACATGTTTTGATGGGCTCTGAGAAAGGAGGTTTTTAGAGACAATATAAGACTCCATGTTGGATTCGGGTGTGTCCCTTGTTTAAGTCTGAACCAATAAAGATGGAACCAAATGGAATCATTGAAATTGAATCCTGCGTCCGTATTGCTTTGCTCGTTACATATATATTTTGTTAATGTTGGTATCATGGGCTTTCGCACAAGTGGGATGACCTGAACTGCCCGAGGCGATCCTGCGAACACCCGCTGCACCCGGGGTCGGCCTTTGGTGTAGTGAAGTATTTACTTATGTCGGTGTTTTTTTATTAAAAAACTTACATTACATAGAGTAGGAAAATAATAAACAAATACTTTCTGATACACAGTTTTAGATATTTTTACTTTGACACAAAGCTGTATTCCCTCCCTGGATGTACGTATCAGCCCCCATCCCTCCTCAGTTCTCAACCGGGTCAATTTGACACAATCTACATCAAAATTTACATTAAAATTGCTGCTGGATGCCTGCCAAAATTGCTTCCTAACCATAAAACTACACCTCATATACTCTACCGCGCTAACACCCTGGCTTATTTACAGCTTCACCAGACAAAATTTTGACTAAATTTTGGATTTTGTTTGGCTTGCTTTCAATTCCACGTGTATTCCCCCAAGCTACGAACCCGTATTTGCACTCTATATGTGCTTCAAAAATGAGAACACAACAGTGGTATAAATCTTTTTTTCCGAGGAGGGCTTGGGATGGGGGAGGGGGCGTCTATGGAGGAGGAAATTATCGTAATCAGGCGCCGAAACTTCTCGCACAAACACCTACACAAGCACACACACACACACACACACACAGCCAAAGGTTCACGCGAAATGTTCACGCATAGTTTGCACGCATAATCCATTGTTGGTGTGCGCAACGGTGTCATCACCCTTAGTTTTCATATACAAGTACTTATGCGCTCACTGGCACACATCATGCATTTGTACATATCCTCCATTTTCTGTACATGTCTTCATGCTTCATTCTCAACTCCAAAAGAATACTAAACAAAAATCAATCAGTCCATCAGTTTGTAACAGAAAAGCTGAGTAATTTCATCCTACTGACTGACTCATGACTCCAAACAGGTAAACATGTTCATGTTAAGGCTCCATTAATTGAATAATTATAATGTCGAAAAAATGACAATACAGATATAATGATTATGATGATGATTAGTGAAAAAGTAGATCCATGTATTGATGCACACATTCTCATGATTAGTACTCGCGGAAAAAAAACGATTGTAATGATTGTCGTGTGTACTCCTAACAGCGAGTAATCTGGATTTAATTTGTATCTCCCTTTTTTCACGGGGGAATATTGGAGAAAAAAGAGAATTACACATTCAAGATATTTCAGTATGCCACGGTTTGGTTGACAACTTGCAAAGTGGTATAAAGCCAATTAATCATTTTCATAACAATGTCTATCCCAGGGGCGGATCCAGGATGGGTTTTGGGGTGGAGGGGTATAACTCTAAATACCAGGCGAGCGAAAGAAAACAAAATACAATAAAAGGTCATGAACTCAAATATTAAGTCTTTCCTTCCCCTTTTTGTCCTCGTTCTTTTATTTTTTAGTGGCGGGGGGGGGGGTAGGCTAGAAGTATGTGCTCCCTGGTCCCTTGATCAGCCACTAGTGTTCATGCATAACGATGAAGAGATTTTTGTTGTTTGTAAACCTGCTATTCAAGTCGCCCCACAAAAGCTCTCCTGGGTTAAAGTCCAGAGTAAAAGCCAGACAACTGTAATTATAGCAAGTAGTGTCTGCATTGCTTTTATGGTAGTTAGTCTTTTAGATTGATCCAAGTAGGAAACGGAGTTTTTTTTGTTAAAATCATGGATTCCTGTGTAAAATTTGATTTTCTGTCAAATGTTCCAAAGGGGCGAAAATCATAATATTGTAGATATATATAATAATAAACATGTATTATTTCAGAGCAAATCTTTTTGCTAAAAATGTGTGTTTGGTGGAGAAAACCTGTTATGAACAATACAAAATAACAGACTACATAGACCTGTTGCTCCAAAAGGGCCCAAAGAACCAGCTACTCACGACCGTCAAGAGGACTGCTTGAAACCATTTTTCTAACGTAATGATAGCACAGTAAATCTCTATATTCCGGTGCAAAAACATCATGATACATTTCTTGTATAAGTCTTTGAACGCTATTTATGTCTTAGGTTCCACAAATCTGAAGACATTTGGAAGAGTGATTTAGTTAAGATACTTGTCAAGTCAACCAATATTATTTGATGTGAACCTTATGTTTAACGTCTCTTTTCTTGATTAAATCGTCAATCTGGGCTCGTATATAGGTTAATTGTTTTTGCTTGAATAATGCAGTAATCAATAATAATGCACATATCCTTTATTATAAAATTTCTTTCATTTTTTTCATTTTCATTTTTCAAAAAATAGTTCGTAACATAGAGAGAATTGAAAAATAAGTTTTTGGTAACAGTAATGATTTACATTGATTTCAGGGAATAGAAATTAAAAATTAGTAGCTTAACATTATATTATTCACTTCTTATAACCTTTAATTTTATTTGTGTAAAGTAGTAGAGCATGTTGAAAGAAAAAGTATACTTGTTTAGGCGAGGCGTCAAAAATAAATATACCAGCCAGCGGCAGCTAACTGCACTTGTGCGTCCTGGCTGCATTTTTTAAATTAGCTCAGCCGGCTACCGCTGGCGGTAGGACCCTCAATTAACTCATGATGTCATCATAATGGTTTCCGAACAAAAGCATGCGCCGGCTGCCGCCTTTCGAATGGAAACCGAGCCTCAGATCCCAGCCTGGCGCAAGCCGGCTGGGCTAATAAGTGAAAAATAATTGCCCCAGCCAGGCTTCGGCCGTAATTGCAGCCTCGATGCGCCAATACGTGAGGCGGCAGCCTGCTGGTATCGATATTTTTGACGCCTCGCCTTATTACATACCCCAAAATTGAGTTAACGTGTTAAAAGATTAGATCATATAAAGGAGAGATCATTTGATCAAACGAACAAAATGTCACACACACACACACACACACACAAACACACAACATCAAAGTGGGATGGGGGTGGACAGTTTTTCTCTCCTTCCACCTTCTCAAAAAAGTAAGGAAGTCAATGGAAAGCGCTATATGATGTTGAAAAAGAGAGACAGAAGAGACTGAGCAAGAGGATCTGAAAGTGAGTGATTCAGAGTGTGGTAAAGCTAGAGAGAAAGATAGACATACATATATATATAGAGAGAGAGAGAGAGAGAGAGAGGGGAGAGAGAGAGAAAGAGAGAAAAATAAAGACAGACACACAGACACAGAGAGAAATAGAGAGAGAGAGAGAGAAAAGGAGATGAAT